TTGGAGAGTTAGCAGATGTGATACAGTCATGACAGAATGAGGTTACTGCAGAAATGACTCATTGTTGAATAATCAAGTGTTTACTCCACCAAAACTGCACGTAACTGGACTGCCACAGTTTTTCTGCTTTATTGTAAGATGTAGCTTTTAAATGTCAGTGCAACAGGAAGAAAGGTAAACTCCTTGGGTGGCTCAGATCTCTATGCATGTGTTAAAAAACAGACAGTGTTCTGGTTCTCAATGGAGAAAAAGAGCTTCTGAACACATCAATGGAGACATAAATTAATGAAATAGGGAAGGAAAATTTACTGAAGAGCAACACAAAATCCTTTCTTGAAGTGGAATAGAGAAGTATTTCTGAAGGAGACCAGATGAAGAAAGAACAATTGATGGGAGGTTCTGATTTTATTGTTTCAAACATCCAAACTTAGCATCCCTCCTGAAAATAATGGCACCTTCTGAGAAATGTACAGCCAATCATTTCCCCAGATACAATTCATGTGTTTCCAAACTACATTCTTCAGCCTTTTTGGTTTTGCCTTTAAAGGTGATTTGAAGGTATTTGCACCTTCTCTTGCATGAAGAAACACACGCTCAAATGCATCTCATCTAGCAAGAGGGACCTAAATCAGGTGAGAGGAAGAACTGGCTGGAAGAACATCTCACTCTTCTGACTACACATCAGGCCCAAAGGTTATGATCTGTTGTGGGTCAAAAGTTCAGGTCAGGACACAAATCCTGACATAAGAGACTTTGGTCTCTTCGAGGCCTTTCTCCAACACTCAGTGTGCACATTGGGTGTAAGCCCAGTGCCTTATATGGCTACTGGTTTAGCCCTCTTCCCTGTTTAAAGGGCAGCAGGAGCAGGGTTGATATCTAAATTCTGGATCACACTCAAAAGCTCTCTAGTTTCTTTGCAAGGGTCTAGCACCAGCATGTGTGATCAAGGCACTGTCATAAAAAAGTAACAGATTATAGACACTTCTCTCTGGGTGGATAACCTCCCATAGAAAACAGAAAAACCTCACTCTGTAAAATCATGAAAAAGAGCTGAGTAACATCTGAGTTTCTGGAATTTCCCGAAGTTTGAGTCTCCCATGGTAGATGCACTTCTGAGAAGCAGATACAACCATTTAACAGGTATGCTCTAACACAGATGTCAATTTATAAACTTTCTCTTAAGAAGTAAAATCCACTGTATTCAGACAAGAATGGCTCAGCTGTTCTTAAGTTTAAAGTTTTGTGAAGCCCTATTGAGAGCAGTGACAGAAATAAGACATAGAAACAGAATTTCAAAAGCTCTTGCTACCCAGACAAAACATAGTAGATTGTGGCTGCTCTAGTTAATTCCTTGCACAGTTAATGTTGTCCTGTTCTTCTATCATTTTAAGTGTTTAAATCACTTATTGCAGATCACTGTTTTAAAAGAAAAAAGCCAAGTATTTTATTTGCCTGAATCTGTTCCGACTAATCTCATGCAGGTTCCAATAGTATTCAAGTGCCAGCTTTAAATAATCTATCTGACTACATTTCTAAACCACTTCTTGTCTTAAAGATCCTAGGTTACATTCATAATCTTTATGAGATTCTCCCCTCCTCCTTCTAATAATATTGGATCATGTTGGACTATGTTGGATTGACTGTGCTATTACATAATGTTATCAAGAGAAAATCAGGTCAAGTGCTCTGTTCGGGCTTCCACACTAACTCCTTCTGCCAAGTTCTGTATACCAATGCTTTTAGGCTTGAAGCCACATTTAGGATATTGCAAGGTGATCTAAATTAGAAAGAAGAAGGTGTAATGCCAGAGCAGGACCTTACCAGTCAGTAGACAGTGGATGCAAATAACACTTCTTCAACCTCAGAAGCACTCATTGGCAAGCCAAACAACAGCTGTTGTACAAGCACAGACCAGCTCCTAACCATTCCATTTCAGCTGTGCTGTTTCTGAATGGCATCCTAGCTGTACAGTTGTAGCCTAGAAATCCCAGGAAGAGGAAGCGCTTATAAGTATAGAATATGCAAGTCACAAACAATGTCTAATGCTGGCTAAAGCCAGCAAGTCCCTGCTTCCAGTCAGAGAAGTCTTCAGTTCAGTACCCATGATGTCAGTCAGAAAGCCGTCAACCTCACAGTTCCCTTAGGGTTTACTGGGGAGTGGGTAAAAGGAAGTGCTTTGGTGACTTTTTATCAGTCCAAGGAAAAACCTCTCCAGGAGATAGTGCTGAGGAGTAGTAGTAGTTGAAATTCTACCCAGTGATTTAAATTCTAGTCAGTGCTCACAAAAAAAGAACAAGTTCATATTTTCATGGGAAATTTACTATTACAAGTAGGCAGTAGTAACTGCATGGACATTTTAAATGTAGAGGCAGTGAGAGGAAAGCAATCAATACTGGCTTCAACACAAATAAGATCTCCAGCTGTGCTTATATAGATTGTGCTCTGTTTGAGTCTACATATATGTGATGGTGTTGCACAATCTATGACCCTGAACAGTCCTATAATACCATGTTCTCCTTGCAGAAGTGCTAACCCTCTGCAGGCGCAGTTCAATTTTGGGTCTGTGCATCAGGGAAGGACATCCTTGTTCATTCTTCCTGGGCTGAACTGGAAATGGTATGTGGCTCATCTTACCCGATTGCAACTGACCAGCACAGCAGAACTAGCAAACACTGAGCATTCACGGATACACAATATACAAACAACTGAAGAGTTAAACACATTAATTTAGCATACTTCATTAGCACACAGAGGAACATTTTACAACTCACTGAAGGCTAGGTTTCTTGACTAAACTCTTCATTGCAACTTCTCACCAACATTTAGCAGTCATCGCCATTAGTTACTGTTTTGAGGGAGAATAATTACACATTCCACAACCAGCAGTTTTTCTTCTCCACTCTTCCCTAAAGCTTCCACTTTATTAACTTACTTGAGATAGGTTAGCAGGATGTAAGCTTTGCATCCTTATAGCTGTTTCATTTGGAAACTTTACGTCTTTGTAGCTAGAGGATTCAAATTTTTTGATGTGTATCTAGCAGTTAAGTAGTCAGTTCAGACTCACAGGAGAAGGCACTGTGTTAAGGATCTGTATCAGCATATAACCTTACCAATTGTACCATCTCCAGTGAAAGCTATCTTCATCTCATGAGTCCTTTCAGCAGTCCCATAGAAAACCCCTGTGAGGATCAAGCCATGCTCAACATGGGTATCAGTGGCAGGGTCTCACTCTTAGGAGATAATTCTTTCCTGTCAGCCAGCCAAAAGGAGCCTGAAGTTGGATGGCTAATTCCTTTGCTAGCAAAGATGCAATTAGAGATAGCATTCAGCTGTGGCACCTCATGGAGCCAAGCCTTTCGTGGCAGCAGAGTTTTCTGTGTGGAATTCCGAATTTTAGAATTGTGTATGCTGAAGGACTCAAGTAAACAGGGAGTCCAGTAGCACATCAGTAACTTTGAAAGTTAAGATTCACTAAGCCTCTGGCCACTTACTACTTAATGATATGAAATTGCACATGTGAATATGAAGCAATAAATATGTAGGGGGAAAAGTGCTACTGGAAGCTTTCAACTTATCCTTGCTTACTCTCTCAGCACAATTCTACTTCAGCACAATTTGTATGCAAAGAACCAGTCTGTGTCTCTGCCTTCTTAATCTAAGACTATGTCAAGAGAGATGTTCCACGGTGGGAATATTTTCACTACTATTATCACTATTTATACTAAATAGTGTCTTTCAGAGTTTCCCGGCTCAAAATTTTGTAATTCATTTTTAGTTTGGTTAATTATGATTAAACTATTTGATATTTTAAAAAGAAAAAAACAAGGAATTGAACATTTGGGAGAAACCCTACAATAGCATACAAGAACCTTCTCTCAATATGTCATTTCTCTTAATTACATCAAATGTTAGTTTAAACTGAGTATGAAAAACAGCTTAGCTGAACACTTTACAAAGACAACACTACAGTTTACAAACTATGCACACACATACAAATTAAATTAGTTTTTTTAAAAGCCTATTAACACCATTTTTGAACAGTGTTTCTCTGCCTTCCTCTTCACCAGGAAAGCTTTCCTAGGCACCCTTCCCTTTCTTGGCCTCTCTCTACTGTTCTCTCTATTTAATCATACCTTCTCCTCCCTGATTTTTGCATGGTCTTCACAGTGGGGACCATTTCTGCAAAATGGTCCAGAGGCAGCCTCCTGCAATTGTACTGGAAAGCCACAGACATCACCAGAAGTTGCTCATGTGCTTTAAAGTTAGGGCTGTAATTGTTGGGAATTGTCATTCAAGAGTCCCATGAAGTCTGACAAACAGCACCTTCAGTTTTTAGCAGGAGTCTTTATCTTGATTATTTATGATGATGCCTCTACCTCCATTTTTTGCATTTCACTTGGCTTTTTCAAGCTTGTGCTAGCTAATGCTTTCTTGGGTGTCATAAAATTTTCCTTCTGGCTTTCATATTGAGGCCAACCTGGCACAGAATACCCCATTAGGAAAATATTTAAATCCATAAAGGGTGATCATCCAGTACTATTTATTTTCTACAGGCAGTGTTTTTAGACTTGGATCATAAAATTAATCTCAAAAACCTGTGGTTTGGTTGGCTAAGTTGAAATAAGATGTCTTACATGAAAACTTGTAGGTACCACTCCCTTCAATGGGAGTAGCAGATACTACCTCAAAAAGTTACATCTGACTGTGGGCTTTGCCATCCAACTTTAGGGGCTCAGACTGAGAATTTTGGCCCTAACATTTGCTGTAACCTCAGGTTTGGGTCCAATTCACCTGACAGTGTGCCTTTAAGCAGGAGCTTCCCCACAGTTGCATTCCCTGATTCCGAGACGTTTAGGATGCTTTTTCATATACTACAGTTTCTGAAGGTCAGTGCGTACACATTTTAAGACACAGTGATAAGACAGTGTATGGAACTACTTGGCAGTATTTAGCTGGTACAGTTTCTTGTGGAAACAACAGAATTCCAAAACACACCACACTGAATGCTTATGGGTTATTACAAGCAAAAATCCCAAGACACCGGGAATTAAAAAGCGGATTTCAACAAAGAAATACTGATATCGTTGGTTGATATGAACAAAGTTGTGCCAAGTCTTCCTTCTCTGCTTTTTCAAGTGGAGAAATAAACTGGGAAAGGAAGCAGAAGGGAAAAGAAGACATAAACCAATAGTTATTACAGAGTTACTATTGTGCTTTATCTCACAGAAGAGTGTGCTGTTACAGAATGGCAAACACCCTTAGCACATCTTTGCCATAAGCACATAGTATGCCTTCCTAGCTGGAATGGGGATACTCCTGTGACAAAAGGAATTCAGAGGGGGAACTGGAGTGGAAAGCAGGAGAGATTGCAGCTCAGACAAGGACTGAGGGTGATGACAGCTCCAGCAATACCTACAGTCCAACATGTTTTCCTTCAGCAGAGAGCTAGCCTGGTTTTTAAGGGCCCCACTACCAGGATGGTAGGAAGCCTGATTTGGGCCATTTCACCACCCATGGTAGCTTGCTGCTGTGAGGAACTACCCAATTTATTATTCTAGCCACCCCTAGAAGGTATAGTCTTGTTCTCATTCCAATCAGTGACTGGAGAAGCCATGCAAGCCTTGTCTGGGACAGCACTTGACTGCTTGATATCAACAAGATTTAAACATATGCTTGAGAGCTACTGTAAATAAATACATCATTGAGTTCAATACACAGGGTCCTTCCTGAAGCTGCAACCTTTAGGCACCACTACAGAAGGATCTGAAAAAACAGAATATACTGAAAAAATAATCTAAGATCCAAATGCATTTAAATCTCACTAAACTTGCACTAGATGTCACTATGGTGAACCATGACCTGGGTGTGATGATGTGACACTTAAGTTTGATACCCTGATGACACTCAAGTTAAATAATCTGAACCCAACCTAACCCATGTCAACCCTGCTCTGTTTCTAAGCTTCCCAGGACAGGCATCCAACTTTTAAAACTAAGAAGGAGACAATGTTATTATTGATATATAATTTCAGTCTTAACTTCTAAAGAGAAATTCTGAGCTATCTTGTTTGCTTTTTACTTTTAAGATACACATAATGCTCAATGATGCATATGTACACAGCAGTCAGTTCAATAGCTGCACATCTGTCTTCCCAGGCTGCTGCACTAGACTGCAGAACAAAGGCCCATCTTTCCCTTGAAGCCAGCTGCCTTGAGTACCCAGTTAATATAGTTAATTAATATCTAGCCTTTTCCCATTCTTGCTGTATCAGTGTTACGAAACCCTAGAATTATTCTGGGTCACTCTGGTGCCAGCATTCATAAGACTAATAAACTGCCACATGTACCTCGATCCTTTTAGTCATGTTTACAGGTGATTCTGTAAGCCTTCTTTACAGAAGAAAAAGAGGAAAATGGAAACATGCTGAATACAAGGCATGTAATCTGAGAGCTGGGAATTAATTCACATCCACAGTTTAGCCTCCTGGTGGATCTCTTCTGGGTTCCTACTAGCTGGATTGTCTAACTCAAGAAATCTCCCTTTTAGGAGTTAATTTCATATTATAGTTATGTCACATAACAGCTGTTGCTAACACAGAGGTTACATAAAGAAAATGCTCAGTTCCTGTCATTACAAGATCCCTGGGTCCCAACCAGCATGACTGCTATTATTCATTCATGTGTTATTTTTCCTATAACCAACACGTGGAATGAGATGGTCTTTCAAGACAAGAAATCAGTAAGACTTTGTGCCATCTTTTAGCAATATTTAGGTATTCAAGGTGCAAAGGGATTTTCAGAGGTACCAACATCTCAAATTCCACCTGCATACTTCAAAAAGAATTCACCAGATGCCCATTTGCCCTTGGGCCTTCACCCTCTTTTTATAGACATGAGGTAACTTAAGCATTACTGTTCTCACTAGAAAACACCAGGACTGTGGCACTGATTGAAAGGAAGATATCGGAAACTGCATAAAAAGTTGTATTATAATTTTAAAAGGGGCAGTCTTTAATCCTAGGGAAAGTTATGTAACGTGCTAATGTAAAATATATTAATTGCCAATAAATTCCACCCATATGTTGCCTAGAGAGTTTGTAGTAATTCTCACTATAACAACATGACACTACAGGGGAATTTGACAAATCAATCACTTTAAATATTTTATATCAATTTTTTCTATCTTTAAAAAAAAAATCAGCACTTCACATGTCACAGAGCTATTGAGATCATAAACAAAAGAGAAATGAACTACTCACTTATAATTATAATGAGAATGACTGCGCATACTACACCAAGGATGATCATCATCTATAAAAAGAAAGTTGCAAGAAAAAGAAAAAGAAAGTCAGGTTTTCACATGAAAAACATTAACCCCTCATTTTTTTACTTTTACTTAGTGGGTCATTCCTTGCACTTTTAATTCTTGCAAAGACTTGCTGAAACAGAACTGTTCAGGCCCCAAATTTAGGGTATATTTCAGGAACAGCTGACCACCAGCAATAGACATAGCCTCTTGTCCAAGCTTGTCCATCAGCTAAGATGCAGTGACCAACTTTGTCCATTTCAAAAGTAAACCTCTGAAGTCAAAGAACTCCAGATGTGATTTCAGAGCCAGGGGAAGTACAAAGGGATTCTGTTTGTTAAGGTAAAGCAGGAAGGGACAATGACAAAGGGAAAATGAGCATACCTTTGAAAGTCTGGTGTAGTGTAGGTCATTGTGGTGACTGCAGTCAGCATGGGTGCACCTAACTCAAAATCTGTAGCTCCCAAAAGCCCTGCTTCCTGCATTGTGAGACAAAGCAACTGGGCAACAGCTAAAGAGGCCCAGAGGAACTGATCAGCTGAATTTCTAGCGTACAGCCACTTATTTCTGGCATGTTTGTGCATGTAGTTAACCCAGAATACTTTATCTTGCTTTTACATTTCATAGCACTGTGGGTTGAAGAGACAAAGCAGGCACCAGGCTGGTGAGGGATACCTGTGGGATTCTCCTTTGGGAACAGGTGGTTTTATTTGAGTAGACATGAATGGTCAGCAGCAAAGTTGGTATTGAAGAGAAATGGAAATGAAGGTGAACTTTCAGCCTAGCATTCATGTTGGTGGTGCAGAAGTAGAAAGAAGCAAGAATATGGGGTCTTATATGAGTAAAAGGAGCTGAAGTTTCCAGGTCTAGAAAACACAAATCCTGAGGTCTGAAAAAGCAGAGTGAAGTTCCCTCTGCTAGTGGGAAAGATGAGACTTTGCAGAGGAGACAGCTAGTTGATTAAAGTCCTGCTCTATTCTAAGCTGCCCCTTTTCAAAAGGGGCTGTCATTTCCTCAATTCTCACAGCACTCTGTGAAAATAACTTATTTTTTTGTAGTTTACCATCTTAAAGAAAGACCAAGAGGCTGATGATTCTCCCAGAAGGAAAAAGGCTTCTTTTCTCCCACTACCAGATTTCACTGTATCTATTCAGATTTTGCAGTTCACACAGAAAGCTGACATGAATTAACAGAGACTGTTCACAGTAGGTTAGAGATTGGAAGGGACCTCAAAAGATCATCTAGTCCAATCCCCCTGCCGGAGCAGGAACACCTAGATACGGTTACACAGGAACGTGTCCAGGCGGGTCTTGAATGTCTCCAGAGAAGGAGATTCCACAACCTCCCTGGGCAGCCTGTTCCAGTGTTCCGTCACCCTCACTGAGAAGAAGTTTCTTCTCAGGTTTAAGTGGAACCTCTTGTGCTCAATTTGTATCCATTACCCCTTGTCCTTTCATTGTTTGCCACTGAGAAGAGCCTGGCTCCATCCTCGTGACACTCCCCCTTTATATATTTATATACACTAATAAGGTCACCCCTCAATCTCCTCTTCTCCAAACTGTAGAGACCCAGCTCCCTCAGTCTTTCCTCATAAGGGAGATGCTCCACTCCCTTAATCATCTTAGTTGCCCTGCGCTGGACTCTCTCCAGCAGGTCCCTGTCCTTTTTAAACTGAGGGCCCCAGAACTGGACACAATATTCCAGATGAGGTCTCACCAGGGCAGAGTAGAGGGGAAGGAGGACCTCTCTCGACCTGTTCTCCCATCCCTATCTGCAGGCACTGACCGAAACATCAGAATTTGTATCTACGTTTATATACTGCAGAATTATTGAAATAGTAAGTTCTGGTAAAGATCAGAGTGGCTTGACTTATTATCCTAGAGCCTAAAGGGCAAGGCATCTCTTGCTGCCATGTACAGGGAGAGACCACTTAGAGATGCCATCCTGCAAGCAGAGTCCCATTAAATGCAAGTGGAAGAAATGTATCCCATTAAGTGATTTTTAACAAGATTTTCTATTCCTTACCTTGCAATTTTTCCACCAGTATTTTCTCTTCAGTTTGGCTGCACTGGTTTCAAACTGTGAGGCACCTGCTTGCAATGCATCTGCTCGGTTATCCAGCTCTGATAGCATCTGGTCTCTTTCTAGCACCTTGTCCACGTTCATTCTCATGATGTCTACCACCTGCAATGACACAGTCTCATGTTACATTGCACACAGTAAAGCTGAGGGTCACCCATATGTTCACACTCTGTAATGTCACACAACATACTGAAACCAGCCATTTGCCATTATGGCATGTGATGGCAGTTACCTGGACACTGCCTCAAAAACCATACCTATGGAAAGACACAGTGAGAACAAAATAAACACAGTTAGACTGTGCTCAGATGCTTTTAAAGGTAAAAAAATAAAGGGACATTATGAAATACTGTAATTAGTTTCACTAGAGCTTTAGATTTCTTTTAGCCTACAACCAGCCACTTCACTATAAATACAGAAAATTGGTGGAGACCGCTGCACTACGATTTGGTTGACATCCAAATTGTCATCACTAAGACCAAGCCATTATTTTCTCTATACTTGCAGTATAACTTCCTTACCTGAACTAGAGAAATTGGCTAGATAAAGGCCATTCTGCAGGGAACTGTATGCATTTCCTGATCAAAGAATTTACTCATTCTGCAGTTCTTTCTCAGACAAGATGACTTCCCAGCCATAATTTGAAGTCCTGCTTCAAAGTGGAGGAGGATAAAATATTACCTGAGAAAATTCAGCCTGAAGTGTAGGAGGAAGCTCATGCCTCCTCATTTCACAGCCTCAGTAGACATGTGTGCGCAGCCAGTACACAGTAAGTAAGGCCTTTTCATGCATGTATCTTATATGTTGGGTCAAAAAGTCTCTTTCTAGCAAGGCAATAACTCTAAGTAGCATTCCTTTACAAATTCATCCCCAATGTAAATGTTAGACAGTATACCAGACTTAGTAGTGTCCACTTATTGTAGCAGCGAATACAATTGCTGGGCTCTTACTTCTTACACTCTGTAATAAGGAAGTCCATGTGGTTTGTATTTAATGTAATTTAAGTATTACATGCAAAACCCCAGAGTTATAAAAAAAATATACATGATTTAAACACAGTGAGATGAAGCTGGTAGTGAAAGAATCTTTGAAAGGACTAGGACAGGGTTAAATGCTGTTCCAAGCCTCAAAACTTTTGTTTCACTTGTCTACCAAACCTAGAACAAAAATGTTTTGGTCAGCACAAATTTTCTTTCTTACTTTTCCAAATCAAAACTTTCCAAGCATTTAATTTTATATCAAATGAAAGAAGCTTTGTTTTCATTTTTTAGCTAGTATTGAGCTGAATGTTGTCTTGGTACTATGTTTCATAGTGAAAAATTCAAACTATTTGAAAATGCTGAAACAAAATAGTGCAACATTTCCTACCCATTCTGTCTTTTTTTTTTAACACCCAGAACTATTTATTGATTTTAACCTGGCTGCAATGAGCACTTGTTCAGATGAGGCTGCATTTATTTTACAGAAACAAGTGTTTGTCTAGACTAAAGCCAAGACTTGGGCCTTAGAAAATAAGGTTTAGGATGCCTAGAGAAATCAGAGGGGAAACCCCAACATGGATATAGTTGAAATACTATATCAGCATTGATATAACGTTAAAAATGACAGTCATTTTGTGAATGGTTTTCTGTTAATCAATGGCCTGATCCCGTTGTCGAGTTTCTGGTTTGGGTCTGAAGTGCTATGTGCAACATCGCCTGGAGCAGAGCAGCCACAGGGGTGTAGTGTTGTGGTGTGTGGTGCCACCTACAGGTTTTCTGCCTACACGACATGAAAGAAAACCAGGAAAGATCTAATTGGAAGGTCAAAGTTTAACAGGCGCCATAAACTAGTTGATTAATTATCACAATTTATCCCCAAAGAAACCCACACATGACAGCATCTTCAACTTTATAATTCTCATGGCTTGAATCTATCTATGAGAAACCGATGGTCTGTCCCTGTGAAACAGTGTGCGAGATTAGCATCTAACCTTCAGGAGTTCAGGAGCATGTTAAAAGAGCTGGTTCCACTATTACTTTTCCTTCTAACCTGACCGACTAGGATGAATTTCTGAATTGGCACAATGCCCATGTTTATTGTGCAGGAGTGTTACCAGTACAAGGATGTTCATATGCAGAATATCTCTTGTGCAGTCAGCCTCCTCATAAATGCCATATAATCTTATTTCCTAGATTCAGTCCCTTCAAATGAGCAGGAATTACTGGATCACTAGGGAGGAAAAGTATCTTACAGAAAAAAAACAGACACACATAAACCAAACCCACATCAGCATGCTTATAGTGAGCAAAAAATCACCTGGAGCCACTTACTTCATCCACCTGGGCTTGTGTCTGCTGCAGCCGTTTGGTAGCAGGAGGTGGCCCTCCAGCCCCGGCACTGGTGGGACCTTGGGTAGGAGCTGGAGCAGACCTAGATCAAAACCAGAGAATGTAAAAAGTGACTGAAACCATCTTCACTTGTTTACTATCCCTTTTCTGGAACAAGTCAAAAGTATCTGTCTCTTAAAAGTAGTTTTCCATTGTCTCACAGCCCACTAGTGAGACATTTCCATTCCTAGTGTCCCATTCCCTCCCATGCTGCAATTATTTTTCACACTGTTTTTTGATAGGATCACATAAAACACTTCCTCTCCCATGCTGCCTTTTAAACATCAAGCATTTCAGGTTATCTACCTTAAATGAGGCCAATGACCAAACTGATCACAGGCCTGACTAGCAGGGCAGAGCTTATGTACCACTAAAGAAACAGACTCTCCTCTGGGTATTTTGTGTTGATCTACAGGGGCCAGGGTTGTGACCCTGCCTTCCTCCTCAGTGTGCGGAGTGACACACTCCCCTGCTCCTTGGTGTTTGGCTAGAAGCTAACCAAGTAAAGATGAACAAAAGGAGAGGAGAAAGAAATGGAGAAGGAAGTGGGGGTGAGAACTGCACACAGCAGGGGGTAGTCACCTCAGGCATCCAGCCAATGTTTAACCACCCCACCTGTGGTCACCAAAATACCCTACCAGAGCAGCTGGCCAGGCTCAAACATCTGCCATGGACCCTGGATGAATATTTGCAGCAATACTGTGAACAGAGCCCTGATCCACTCCACATCAGCCCTTTTCTTAAGCATCAACACTGGCTTTCCCCAGCCTGCTCTTAAACAAAAGGCAAAACAAAAGTCCCTTAAAATCCAGCAACAGATCTGGTCTGTCTCAGTGCATGAGCTTGTACAGACAACTCACCCTGCAGCCAGAACAGGGTCCTTCAATCTTAGCCAGTCATTCTTCACACCCACACTTTAATCTGTGAAACCTTTCCTTTCCTTTTAAGGGACCCCTATCACTACTTCCTGCAGAGAAATAAACCCTTTCCTGAAGCTGCAAAGGAAATCCCTAAGCATGTGCTCTGAAAAGTATCACAAATCCCACTCATGTATTACCAAAGCCTTCCCCCAGTGACATACTGAAAGAACACAGCATTTCTCTGTGAATCATTCCCTTTGACATCCTGGGGTCTGACTAATGCTGCTGGAATTATGGCCTCATTAATACCCTATCAAAGCACTATGGGGCACTAAAGTTAGTTCCACAAAGGTATCTTAAACTACAAAATTCAGTTTAGCAGTATCACCTGTGGGCCAAGATCTCTACAGACAGTACAGACCCTCACAGACTCCCAGTAATATAGAATGGTTTGTGTTGGAAGGGACCTTAAAGCTCATCCAGTTCCAGCCCCCTGCCACCGCCAGGGACACCTTCCACTAGAGCAGGTTGCTCCAAGCCACATCCAACCTGGCCTTGAACACTGCCAGGGATGGGGCAGCCACAGCTTCTCTGGGCACCCTGTGCCAGTGCCTCAGCATCCTCACAGGAAAGAATTTCTGCCTAATGTCTCATCTCAGTCTCCCCTCTGTCAGGTTAAAGCCATTGCCCTTGTCCTGTCCCTACAGGCCCTTGTCCAAAGCCCCTCTCCAGGTTTCTTGTAGCCCCTTTAGGCACTGGAACTGCTCTAAGTTCTCCCCTTAAGGAGCCTTCTCCAGGCTGAACCAGCCCAGCTCTCTCAGCCTGGCTCCAGAGCAGAGCTGCTCCAGCCCTTGCAGCACTTCCGTGGCCTCCTCTGGACTCGCTGCAGCAGCTCTACATCCCCTTTGTGTTGTTGCCCCAGAGCTGGATCAGGACTGCAGGGAGGAGTCTCACCAGAGCGCAGCAGAAGGGGAGAATCCCCCTTGACCTGCTGCTCACGCTCTGGGGATGCAGCCCAGCACACGGGTGGTTTCTGGGCTTAAGCACACACTGCTGGGTCATGGTGAGCTTCTCATCACCAAGTCATTCTCCTCAGAGCTGCTCTCCATCCAGTCTCCCCCAGCCTGTGTTTGTGCTTGGGATTGCCCCAACCCATGCGCAGGACCTTGCACTGGGCCTTGTTGAACTTCATGAGGTTTGCACAGTTCCACCTCTTCAGCCTGTCCAGGTCCCTCTGGATACCATCCCTTCCCTCGAGCGTGTCAGTCAGACCTCCCAGCTTGGTGGTGTTGGCAGACTTGCTAAGGGTTTGTGATGGAGCAGCTGTCTGCAGACACAGAGCAGTGCTGTATCTTACACTTCTTTTTTAACTATAGGTAAGAATGTCATTATCAAGCTTCAGCTGAAATAAACAACCCTGAGCTGTACACAAATTGCTCACCCTTTGAGGACCTCACAGCCCCTGTTAAAAACATAAAAGACCAAATACTGCTGCCACCTGCAATGGAATTACTTCATTGAAGGGCCATGGGCCAGCATCCCGACAGGATTTTTTCTGAGTTTCCACTGTTTTCACAAAGGATCAAAATCGGACTATAATATATATCAGACTCAAATAATGCTAAACAAGATGTCCCTGGAGCATTAACAACTTCAAAGGGAGTTCTTGGTACAACAGCAGAGCTAAAATTGAAATTTGTAAAATTTATTTGCAGTAAATAGGCTTTTTCCCATCCAACACAGCAGATTTTTTTCCTATGAAAACATTGTGTCACTGTTCACTACTAAAAATGTTAACAGAGCTCCCTTCTTGAACAATGTGCTGTTAGCATCCCAGGCTACAGAAGGGAAGCACATGAGAAGTGTTTTTCCTGGGCACTAGTGTTTTTGCTCATAAGCGTAGCTTGTAAGTGCAGTGGTATTCTTGGTCACAGCTACATGATAGAAGTTCAGTGCTCTGCCATATCCCTTCCCTGCCTAGTAATTTAATCCTTTATTTTTTACACCTCCCAAGCTGTCCTTAAAATGATTTGACACAAAGTAGGTACTTCCCAGTTTGTTGACCTTCGGTATCCTAGCTGCCACCTAGTTCGGTTTCAGCTCTATTTCCTGGGGCTTCTCTGCTCCCTGTCTAATGGAGGAATGGGTTGGCAAACTGTGTTTGTAACAGCTGCCCTGACCATCCAACAGGAGTTACTGTAACTGCCGAAGAGAAATGGCTGTCCTAATGCTAAGGCACAGCAAGCTTGTGATTAACATAGCCATCTGAATTAATTACATAAAATCTAATAGAAGAGAAACCAGAGCTGGGTGCTGACTGCAGTGCAGAGCTACTTTTGTCTCTAGAGTTGTGCTCTCCTTACGCAGCAACAGCAGCTGCCTTGCTCACAGCCTTGGGGGTCAGAGCAATGAAGAGTGCTCACCAGAGGAGATCAGAATCATAGAATCATAGAATAGTTAGGGTTGGAAAGGACCTTAAGATCATCAAGTTCCAACCCCCCTGCCATGGGCAGGGACACCTCGCTCTAAACCATATCACCCAAGGCCTCGTCCAACCTGGCCTTGAACACTGCCAGGGATGGAGCATTCACAACCTCCCTGGACAACCTATTCCAGATTCAGGATGTGCTGCAGAGGGACCAGCACCAGTTCTAGGAAGTCAAGCCGTAAGCATGTGACTTTAATGCCACCAGCAGCTGTTGCAGGTCATCAAGGAATGAACCCTCTCTTGTCATGAGATAGCATGTAATATCCAAAATAGACAAAACAAGCACAAAGACACCTGCATCACTGCTTCTCACAACTTCCTAAGGCACTTTAGATCAAAACAGAGGGGTCTCCATGCTTCTAGCTCAGCCCTACAAGCATTTGAGCTCTGTAGATAGCATCCTGGCTGTCAGCAGCAGAAGGCAATACCTCAGTGAGCTAATGTGGCTCTAGTCACACAAGGCATCTGTTAAGAGTTTGTCTTTGAACCTGAGTTTTCTAGTAAAGAAGGGAATTGAAGGCCTACATCCCTGGAAAACGTCAATGTTCCCTGGGATATCTTAGTGCAAAAATGGTAGAATGAAAGTCTAATACATTTACATCATTCTATTATTGCCTCTGTACTGTGCTATCTCAGTTTATAATTTATCAGAATTATTGAAAGAAATTTATGTGGAACACTGGCACTATTTTAGAAAGGTTTGCTTTTGAAATACTTGAAGCATCACAACTTTAAAGTCCAATTTCTCATGGGCTGACACTATTTTGAGGAGCTACAAAAGAATGCAAAATCCATATAAAAGCTCCATCACTGGGCCCCTAGCTGCCAGGCCAACAGACTTGTGCACTTTTATTTAGGGGTTGTTTTGTTTTTAAGAAAAGGAAAAAGGTTACCATTCATGGTGAGAATCTTTACTCCCAAGAACAGGTCAAATTATTTTTGACAGGGGAACAAAGCTCTGTTATTGTTAAAGGGTATAAATCCCTAGCAAATATTCTTTGAGGGAAACTCTGGGAGAGTGACAAGCACACTTACTTCAGGACAACTCTATGACACACTTAGAGCCCCGGCAGTTGGGTCACTCTCTATGTAACACGAGTTATATTCTTTCTCCCCTCCATGACAGATTTTGCTTCATTTCACACATGAGCAATCTGGCTGACTGACAGCAGGAGCTGGATCTGTGTACGTACGCAGCCACTTTGGAAGAAATCTTTGGGACTGTCCTAGCAATTCAGTAAAATAGTCTTAGCTGACTCACACATCCTCAGTTCTTCTGGTTACTTGCTGGGCCAGAAACTGGTGGGTCAAAATCATGACTAAGATTTCTTATCTCACCTGGATATTTTGGAAGCAATTTACTATTTAACTCTTAGTTAAAGGGAACTGCAACTCTAAGAGATAACTGGAGATAATCTAGCGTTAGTTTTCCATTTCAGCACTGGTTGAAAGAACATTAAGGATGACTGTGTATCTGATGTTTTAGGAAACTGCCTGATACACACTTCCAGTTTTGTTCATGTGTGTGAACTATGTAGGAGAATTTTTTGGTGTTAATCAGGCTAGGGAAGGGAAGCGTACAACATGAATACCAGGAGGATGCCTGGCCACCACTGCTACTTTGGTACAGTTTACATTTGGACCTTGATAGCTGCTTTCAGCAACTTGTTTTATCCATCCTAAGTGCTTTTTAAA